GTGCCTGGCCTTATACTAGCCTCATCATCTTTTCAGAAAACTGTGAATGAGAGAAAAAAAATTGGTTTTAAGCCAGTTCTATTGAGGAAGCACAGATTATCTGCACAGCAGGGACAGGCATCACTGCTCTAAGTGGTTTCTCAATGCCTTTGGCTCAATATTTCTCCTGAATCCGTAACAAAGCACTTCTTTGTAGACCCACAGCACAAACACAGCTGAGAAGAAATAAACACGTGTAACATATCATTATGTCACATAAACTGAAAAGCTTGCCCAGAGGATGAGGACCAGAACGTGCATCCTACTGTGTAGTATTTTGCACAGAAGCTGAAAGTACCCAAGGATTGGATATGATAGAAACCTTGACTGTGCATGGACTTTGCAAAATTACTGAATCCAAGGAAGGATTTGCTACTGTTGCTTTGAGAAGAATCTATATCTAAGGCAGCCTTTTTCAACCAGCGTGCCTTCAGGCTTCTTCAGGAGTACCTTGGCAAAATGCCTAAAAGTTCCCCAAAAACTGTATACAAACCAGCGGGTGGATCAAGCCTGCCTTTTAGTACACAAAGCCACAGGTTTTCATTGTTCACTTTTAAGACTTTTTAGCTGCTGGCGTCCTAACAACCAATGACATCATCACTTGATAAGTAGGATTTCGGGTGCCTGCACAGTATCCTTGTTTGCTTCTCCCCTGCCCCTCTCCATCAGCACTGGGGTCACATTAGCTGAGTGTTCTAGCGTGTGGATGTTGCTGCATTATGTAAAACTATTAGAATAGTTTTTTACAAATTAGAATGAGGTGCCTTGAGATTATGCAGAATTTTACAGTGTGCCTTGACTGAAAATAAGTTTGAGAAACACTGGTCTAAGGTTTATACTTACTTTGACATCTATCGACCCTCAGACGGTATTGTGTGACTTACTGCAATAACTTTTTTTATTTTTTTGACAAAACAGGGATGCTTTATTGCAGTTAAAAGCAATTACAGAATAGAACACAAAATAATGACAAGGTTTAGTGCAGTACAAATCCACAGGATACTTGCAACAGAAAATAAGCCAGTTCAACAGCCAATACAATAGAAGCTCATAGTCCAACTCTTATTCAGCGTCTCTGTAAAAAAAAAAAAACCCCAATAGTGCAGATGTCTAATATTTGAAAATTCTTTTTTCTTTCACAAGTGATAAACTCCTCTTCTTCCACTTAATACCCTCAAAAAATACATCGCATATAGTGCATTACCCAAATCGCATGTTATCCAACACAAAAAAACGCACTTACAAAATTAGTGCAAATACGTGTAAAACACTCCACTCCACCATGTGCCCATGTCTAACCTTCTGTCATGCTCACTTTTACCCTCTTAAAAATTTGGAAGAGCGTCCACAAAATCCACCTTCCGTCGTGGTTGAACTCCTAAATTCGTCCACTTTCGTATGGAAAATGTACCTCCAAAGGAATTATATATAGTGTCATATCTTAACAATAGCATACGTGCTCCCCTCGCATCAAAATAATGTTGGGGGGGTGGGGGGGGCTCTTCTCACTCCACAGCGTGTCTGAGTCACAATGGCATCATAACATGTGACAAAGTATACTCAAAATAGTGTAGTAGGCAATGAATAGTGATATTGCTCTTTAATAATGAAATGTGCTTACAAACAAGCATGGTGTCTTGGCATAAACTCCTACTGGAAAAACTGTATGAAAACCTTTTCCAAAATGGCTGCTCCGTAACTTCCGGTTTACGTCATGACGCTTTTCATTACTTCCGATTTCATCAGCCTCAGAAGAAGAGGAGTTTATCACTTGTGAAAGAAAGAATAATTTTCAAATAGAAGACATCTGCACTATTGGGTTTTTTTTTTTTGATACGGAGACGCTGAATAAGAGTTGGACTATGTGTTTTTGACTTTCGGGGAGAAAGTATAATTTGGCGTCCTGGAGTTCCATATCACTTATTGCATTAGCATTTAGTAGTATACCGATACATTTACTTACTTATTAATACAATAGAAGCTGTCTACATAATTACAGACATAGACACAAGCCCAGTAAGTGTAGAAATCCAGTACTCAGGGAACAAAAAGGAAAGCCGGGAAGGGGCAAGAGGGGCGCGATGATCAAGGTGCAGAGAAAATCAGGGAAGGAGAGGCTAGGGAGTGAGGGGAGGTAGAGGGGTAGAAGAAATGGGAGAGGGGTGAGGGGGGGGGGAGAGATAGTAAGGGAACATAACCCTGGACTCTGCCCACAGTCTGCAAATCCGGCGCACACTAAATGCAAACGCCCTAACCTGAGGTCCAGGGAGACCACACATTGTCATATGTCCAGGGGCAACCCCGAAAAATGTTAATTTATACATAGAGCTGTGCCCACCATGACCTCCTAGGAGGGAACCCCAGGAAGAGCAGACAACGTGCACTTCATTAAAATGTATTTTTTAGCATAGTAGAGGAGATATGAGATCAACAGTTTTAGTGTGATGAGAACGTTGGGAATCCTCATGAATGCCCAATAGAGCTGGGGAGGGTGACAGTCAATTACAGCTGGTGATTAATCACCTCAAATACCTGAGAGCAGTAGGTCGCAAGTACTGCAATTATACTGTAGGTATTTGTGATATTTGTTTGTGGATCTATTTTTTTATATGAATAAGTGATTACTTTTTAGTGTATATGTTGTTTATACACACTTTTTAGTAGTGTAAGTTTTACACCCCACACACACCCCCCACCCCCCCCACACACGCACACACACTCTCTCTCTCTCTCTCTCTCTCTCTCTCCTTTATACTTTTGAGGTGCCAAGTAATCAACTCATATTAGTAAAAATAAACTTACAGATTTTTATTGAATAGTTAAAGATAAAACCGTATTAAAACAAAAATATATGCATAAGGAACAGCCAACTTTTAACCACCATACGGGGCCTTGAAAAGTATTCATACCCCTTGAAATTTTCCACATTTTGTCATGTTACAACCAAAAATGTAAATGTATTTTATTGTGATTTTATGTGATAGACCAACACAAAGTGGCACATGATTGTGAAGTGCATGGAAAATGATAAATGGTTTTCAAAGTTTTTTAGAAATACATTTCTGGAAAGTGTGGCATGCATTTGTAATCAGGTACCCTGAGCCAATACTTTGTAGAACCACTTTTTACTGCAATTACAGCTGCAAGTCTTTTTGGGTATGTCTCTACCAGCTTTGCACATCTAGAGAGTGAAATTTTTGCCTATTTTTCTTTGCAAAATAACTCGAGCTCTGTCAGATTGGATGGAAAATGTCTGTGAATAGCAATTTTCAAGTCTTGTCAAAGAATCTCAACTGGATTTAGGTCTGGACTTTGACTGGGTCATTCTAACACATGAATATGCTTTGATATCAACCATTCCATTATAACTCAGGCTGTATGTTTAGGGCCATTGTCCTGCTGGAAGGTGAACCTCCACCCCAGTCTCAAGTCTTTTGCAGGTTTTCTTCTAAGATTGCCCTGTATTTGGCTCCATCCATCTTCCCATCAACTCTGAACAGATTCCCTGTCCCTGCTGAAGAAAAACATCCCCACAACATGATGCTGCCACCACCATGATTCACAGGGGGATGGTGTGTTCAGGGTGATGTGCAGTGTTATGTTTCAGCTACACGTAGCGTTTTGCTTTTAGACCAGAAAGTTCAATTTTGTTCTCATCTGACCAGAGCACCTTCTTCCACATGTTTGTGTCCCCCACATGGCTTCTCGCAAACTGCAAATGGGGCTTCTTATGGCTTTCTTTCAACAATGGCTTTTCTCCTTGCCACTCTTCCATAAAGGCCATATTTGTGGAGTTTATGACTAATAGTTGTCCTGTGAAGAGATTCTCCCACCTGAGCTGTGGATTTCTGCAGCTCCTCCAGAGTTACCATGGGCCTCTTGGCTGCTTCTCTGACTAATGCTCTCCTTGCTCGGCCTGTCAGTTTAGGTGGACGGCCATGTCTTGGTAGGTTTGCAGTTGTGCCATACTCTTCCCATTTTCAGATGATGGATTGAACAGTGCTCCATGAGATATTCAAAGCTTGGGATTTTTCTTAATAACCTAATCCTGTTTTAAACGTCTCCACAATTTTATCCCTGACCTGTCTGTTGTGTTCCTTGACCTTCATGATGCTCTTTGTTCACTAATGTTCTCTAACAAACCTCTGAGGGCATCACAGAACAGCTGTATTTATACTGAGATTATTTACACACAGGTTTACTAATTAGATGACTTCTGAAGGCAATTGGTTCCGCTAGATTTTAGTTAGGGGTATCAGAGTAAAGGGGGGCTGAATACAAATGCATTCCACACTTTTCACATATTTATTTGGAAAAAATTTTGAAAACCATTCATCATTTTTCTTCCACTTCACAATTATGTGCCACTTTGTGTTGGTCTATCACATAAAGTGGCAATAAAATACATTTACGATTTTGGTTATAACATGACAAAATGTGGAAAATTTCAAGGGGTATGAATACTTTTTCAAGGCACTGTATATGTCATATATGCTTGCACAAAAAGACTGTCTCTATATGACCCATTCCCTTGGTACACATTGGGGTTGATTTACTAAACCTGTAGAGTGCAAAAATTTGACGCAGCTCTGCAAAGAAGCCAATGGGCTTCCAGTTTTTTTGTCAAAGATTAATTGAATAAGCTGAAGTTAGAAAATTATTGGCAATGATGCAGAGCTGCGTCAGATTTTTGCACTCTCCAGTTTTAGTAAATCAACCATATTGTGTCATGAAGTTGGGCATAACCATTCAAACCATGTAGAAGGATAGGGGAGTGGTTGTTTGCTTCAACACATTTCACGATCAAGCTTCTTCAGGTGGATAGAAACAGGTTCATCTATCATATCAGTGACAATTATTAATTTTCATTTTCCTAACCTTAAGGCTAGGTTCACACTAATGCGGTGCACCGCATGTGATTCGCACAGGAACCGCACCGCATTCCTGTGCAAATCACATGCGATATGTGTGCGGTGCGATTGGAGCCACACATTTTGTATGGCTATAAGTGCACCGCACCCACACCAAAGAGGTACAGGACCCTTTTTTGGTTCCGCGCTAGAAATGGATCGCATTGATATTCACACCTATGCGATCCGATTCTGCACATCGCACCGCGTTTTGCAGATCGATTTCGGGGTGTTGTTTACTTAACATATATACGCGCATCAGTTCGCATGAACGGGGTGCGATTCTGATGTGGAGCAGAATTCGCACAGAAAACACTGCGAATTCCTCACCGCATCAGTGTGAACCCAGCCTCAAACACAGTCAACATTTTAAAAGTTGATATGCTTTTATATTTGACTAACTGCAGAATAGTCCTCACAGACTTAGCTCTACTGTCTTGTAAGGGTGTCTGGATTATAATACTGGCCAAACAGAATACCATATCCTTTAGCATGTTTGTACTGTACATATACTGTTTTGTAAGCTGCTTGCCTGGAATTTAGCATTAATCTGTGCCTGTTGCACTTTCTAATATTTGGTATAAGAATTGAGTATAAGGGTAGTGGTATAAATGTTTCTTTTTATTTTAACATATAACGTTTTTGTCTGGGTTTTTTTTTTTCGCTTTTGTTTTTATTTCTAGTGTTAATGTGTTTGCATTCTTCCTACAATTCTTTGTGTGCTGTCCTTGTTTGTCTCTATACCTTCATCAGTCGTCATGGAAACGACTACCACTCCATATGACTGAGGGGAAAACTTTGCTTACAGTTTAATGCTTAGACCTACTGTGCTGAGACTGTACACAGTACCCTGTAATTCCATTCAACCTCAGTATTTCAAGGCACCTTATGCTTAATTGTCATGTGTGGAGAAGTTGGAAGAACCTAAAAGTACAGTACAAATAAACAAGACGAGATCAGGGCATCTACCCTTGAAGTTTTCAGCTTCTTGTTCAAACTTTTTATTGGGTTACAGGGATAAAGTACTGTACATACAGTGAAATATTGCAAGTGGTGCCATATTCAACAAGTAGGTAAATATGAGGCTCAAGGCCTTCAAGCAACTGTATGGTTACAACAACTTTATGAATTGAATAAAATAACCAAAGAGAGAGGAAGGGAAGAAATAAAGGAGGAGACAAAAGGAGTATAGAAAATCAGAAAAGAGGGAAGAGAAAGGGGGCTGGATAGGGCGTGTGACTTCCAGGATGGGGAAGTTTTCAGTTTCTAATCTAAAACTGCAAATAATCAAGACTCCAAAAAGACTGGATCAGGGCCATCCACTTGCAAAGTTCTCAGCTTCTAACTTTAACACTTTAAATAATCAAGACCCCAAAAAGTTGAGATCGTGATCAACTAGCCTGAAGCAAGTTCTTAGCTTCTAAAAGTAAACCTGCTTAGCTTCTAAATGTAAACCTGCAAATCAAAAAGAGATAAAATCTCTCAAAAAAAGTTCTCCGCTTCTAACCTAAAACTGCAAATCTAGTTTCCGAAAAGATGAGATGAATAAGCATCTACCCTCAAAGATGTTTCTCAGCTTTTCACCGTTCAAGTTTAATAACTGTATATTTTGGATAGACATAGAAGGGCTGACTTCTCATCGGGAGCAGAGGCAGACTGACAACTCATGGGGCCCCCGGGCAACAGGGGATCATGGGGCCCCTGTGTCTTTGCCCAAACTCAAAAAAGCCTATGAAAAAGGTACCAGGGGCATCTCATGGGGCCCCCTACTGACCCCAGACCCTCGGGCAGTGCCCAAGTTTCCAAATGGTCAGTCCGCCCCTGATTGGGAGTAATAGGTGATGTAATCTGCTCAAATTGCTGCCTCTCTGTAATCTGTCTGGAATTTATGCTTGAAATAGATGAAAAAAAGAATATGGGTTTTGCTCAGTAAGAGGATCATTCTCTTTTCCTTTATGGAAAAAGAAATAATCAGTGATAGACTGCACAGATATTTTCCAACAGGAAGTTATGACAAGAACCAGAGACGTTGAGATATCTTAGCTTATTTTTGCTTTTAATAGCTAAAGGAATTTCTGAGAATGCCTGTATAGGTTGTGTTTTACGGTTTACTATATGCAGTATTAAAAAAGCTGAACTGCAGGCGCAAAAACTTTCATTTAAATACACTAGTCACCCTGTGCAAGTAGAGAGAGCAACAGTACTTCTCTGCTCTGGAGGAGAAACCTAATTCAGGAATATGCAGCAGTAGTGTAGAGTAACAAAGATTTTACAGTTAATAAAAAAAAATTTCAATTTTGTTTTCTAATATCAGATCTAGATCCGTTATAGAACTGTTTTCCCCAATTATCCCTTTAGTGATAGAAAAACAATAATCTATTTGGAATTTTTGATATTTGTATGCTGTTCCTTCTATCATTCAAACTATTATTACCTGAAAGGTAATTCATTTTACCAAAAGGCATTCCAGCGTACGGTATATCATTTTTACAACTCATACATGCCCTACAAGTAGCACTACATTCAGATTGACTTTAGAGCACTGAAATGTATTTATTTATTTTTATTTATTTCAAGTACTTATATAGCACTGTCAATTTACACAGTGCTTTACATGTATTTTGTACATTCACATCAGTCCCTAACCCTCAAGGGGCGTAAAATCTAAGGTCCCTAACTCACATTCATACATAGACATACTTGGACCAATTTAGACAGGAGCCAATTATCCTACCAGCATGTCTTTGGAGTGTGGGAGGAAACCGGAGTACCGGAGGAAACCAACGCAGGCACAGGGAGAACATGCAAACTCCAGGCAGGTGGTGCCGTGGTTGGGATTCAAACCAACAACTCTAGTTCTATCAGGTTGAAGTGCTAACCATTTAGCCACTGTGCTGCCCCTGAAAGTCAATACAAGTGATTGGATCGTGTAAAAGTTACATTATTGATACATATTTATTACGATATTATAAAGTTCCAGTTGAGTGAACGTTTACTTTCTCAATGATACAAACTATTCTGTCAAATGCTGTAGTATTTGCCCAAAACATGTGCCCTTCTATGTAGAGGCAGACGGATCCTGGGAATGTCATCATTGCTGATAGATCTGAACTATGGCTTTAGTCGTATATATGTATAAGAAAAGCTCTCAGACTCACAATGGTTTGACCATGATTGGCAGACCAAAACTAACTTACCTGTAACAGTGGAATACAGTTTCCACTATTAAAGGCAAGTTGTTTTTGGTATGAAGTAGAAGAGCAGTATAGTTAATTGGCAACAAATAGAGTATTTTTTATTCTTTTTATATACTACCTCATAGGGGGATGCTCTTGCATCTAAACCATAGAACTAAACTGCAACCCACCAATCCATATATACACGGTTATCAGCTCACAATGTCAGCAGGTTTTTTTTGTGTGCCTGTGGTTTTTATTTTTTTTGTTTTGTTTCATTTTGGATTTTTTGGGATGTTTTTTGCACTTATTGGACTTTATAACAAAACCATTTCAATTGTATATTTAACAGGCTTACGCTGGCCATACAATACACAATTTTCTTGTTCAATTTCCTTTAGATTTACCTTCAACTATGTAGTGCAAGAACCTGCCTGATTCCATACAAACGGAAAGCGTTTAGGTTTGACCTCATATTGTATGGTTTTGGTAAGTCTAAAAGGAAATTGTGGAATGTATGGCTAACCTAAAAGGGAACAATAAAAGACGTTCATAGGAGAGTTTGCATTAGTGCAGAGGCCTGTATATGACTGCTTCTCTTGAAAGTGAAATTCCAGTCTTAACCTAACTAGTTTTAAAATGTCTCCTCCCTACTCTTAACACCTATGATGACTAACGAGTGTAAAAAAAAAAGATCTATGTATTTACCTATTTTCAATCCTCTCTGTTCATGTTATCTGGCTCTCCTGTGTCAGCGGCTGCAGGGGAGAAGAGGGAGTGCTGACAACAGCCTATGGGTGATGTCACTGCTCCCAGGTTTTCCCAGACCCTGTCAAGTGCTCTCTCCTCTCCCCTGCAGCTGCTGCTGGCTGACACAGGCAATCACGTGACCAGATAATAGAAACAGAGAGGGGACATTTTAAGGCTTGTTGGGTTGAGGCTGGAATTCTACTTTAATGTACGGTAAGCATCATACTAATAACTAGATATGTGTTTTTGATGGATGGAGACAGCAGAAGTGTTTTGATAACAAGAAGCATTCTCATAGTTGTTGGGTAGGACAGTGACCTCGCCCAGAATACTATGGGCTGTGAAATTACAAAACCGAGATTTTGTGAATGTTTTACGTGAGTTTGGCAAGTTGTGTCACATTAGACTTGGAGATAGAGTGTTACTTCAGTGAAGGGATAACGCCTACATAGTGCAGTATAATGTGAAAGTGATGAATAACAATAGTGTGGGAGAGCAGATTCATGCAAAGGGAGATTGTTCTTTAGTATGTAATTACGAGCCCACAGATCACTTTTTTTATGCCTACAAAGTGATATTGTGTTGTAGGCAGGAATATGTAATTTATGCTATCTGTCATTCTATGACGAGTTTGATGAACCTGTTCTGGAGTCACTTTGGAGGGGATGCATAGTGTACTGTACATGCATCACACATGTATTGCCTTACTACTTTTTTTTTTTTCTTGTAATATGACAGAGGAAACTATATACCAGGGGCGGACTGACCATTTGGAAACTCGGGCACTGCCCGGGGTCAGTAGGGGGACCCATGAGATGCCCCTGGTACCTTTTTTCATAGGCTTTTTTTTGAGTTTTGGCAAGGACACAGGGGCCCCATGATCCCCTATTGCCCGGGGGCCCCATGAGTTGTCAGTCTGCCCCTGCTATATGCATTGTGTTTTGAAGGTCAAATCCAGGTATAACTGAAGTCCAACTGATATGTAAGATACAGTGCACACTCCCTGCAGAGTTGATACCTATTTTATGGGACAAAAAACGGAAAAGGGCTAGTTCACAACACAATTTGTTTAGTGTGCGTTTCCACTTGTGCATTTACATGCGGCTTAAATATGTTTTTAATGTATCCTGTGTGTTTTTTGTTTTTTTTTTTTCCATTTCAGTCTTCAGGGTGCTAAGGAATATGGTGTGTTTATGTGATTTTCGTTGTGTTTGCACCCATTTTGCTGCAAAAAATACAAGCATGGAACAGCACTGGTATGAACTAGGGTGATTACAAAACATTGCTTTTACTGCGTGTGCATTCAGGATGCATTTTAAAAAATGCCTCTAAAGCATTTGGTATGAAAAAGCCCTAACTGTATGATCACACATTTTCCAGCATGTCCCCCAAAGCAGGACTCAACCTCCATTAGCTTGATTGTCACAAGCAAGATTGTCATGTGACTTGCTAGTGTTTGTGTATCACAGGCCTTCTGTCAGCCACAGCAGCCCACTGCACATATATAGCAAAGCACAGCATACTTCAATTTTCTTTTTCAATATTTTTCTTATTATCCTTTAAGTGGTTCTAAAGGTGTTTTTTACCCTAATGCATTTTCTGCATTAAGTTTCCTCCCCAGCTCCTCCTTATGCTCACATGCGCCCTATTTCGATCCAGCAATGTGCACAAGAGCAGCAACTCTTTTTCTCCTCATTGGACAGAAAGGCAGGAGCCATTGGCTTCTGCTGCTGTCAATCACAGGCAGTGAGTAATGAGTGCAGAGGCAGTGCTTAGCCGCACTCTGTGTGCCAATGGACACACACAGCCGGCTCTGGAGCAAGCATGCACGAATGCCCCCATAACAAGCCCCTTGCTATGGAATTAGTCAACGGGGAGGAGAGGTCAGGAGTGCTAGCAGGGAGACCTGAGTAGAGGAGGTTCAGGCATTCTCTGTGCAAAACAATTGCACAGAGCAGATAAGTATGACATGTTTTTTTTTTTAACCGTGAACATTTACATTCACTTTTAGGTTGTACATACTGTTCTTTCTATTATAATGTCCAGAAATCAGGCTATTTCCATTGTGTCTACAATAAACATGAAGTTGCTAAATGGTTAGCACTTCTGCCTGGCAGTATTAGGGTCGTCTGTTTGAATCCCAACCACAGCACCACCTGCCTGGAGTTTGCATGTACTCCCTGTGCCTGTGTGGGTTTCCTCCCACACTCCAAAGACATGCTGGTAGGTTAATTGGCTCCTGTCTAAATTGGCCTTAGTATGTGTATGTATGAATGTGAGTTAGGGACTTTAGATTGTTCACCCCATGAGTGTTAGGGACTGATGTGAATGAACTATATATATATATGTAAAGTGCTGCGTAAATTGACGGCAATATATAAGTACCTGCAATAAATAATTCTCTGTATGCTGGGTGTGTGTGTGTCTACCACCTATGTCCCCCCCTCCTGCCCTCCCCCCACCTTCAAAGAGCTTGAGGTCACAGCATAGCAATGTGAATCCTATTAATACACATTCCTTGTAGAACACTGTGCTCTTCCAGACATATAGGTTTTAGCATTCCACATTTTAATTATCAAAGTATTAGTAAAAATAAATAGGATAGAAACAAAAAAGTAGGAAAGGAATAGGAAGCAAAGGGAAAATTAAAACCAAGTGCTACTTTCCATCCATCCTGCGGGTCCAGAGCATAGAGCTCTCTTAGTTCTTCCAGCGATGTATTCTATCCATAGGTCCCAGATTTTTGCAAAAGGTTTCATTTTGTCATTCAAAATGGTAGAACATTGTTTATTCACCATGAAAGTTTGGCTTTTACTAATGTAAGGATGGATGTAGACTTCCAGGACCTAATGATTGCTTTCTTTGCGGGAATGAATATAAACAAGATCAGCTTTTTAGTATGTCCTGGTGTCCCCTCTATATGCTGGTTCAGTAGGGCCTGTAAGGTTGATATTTTGAGGTTTCTTTGAGTCATTGTGTATGAAATTGTATGTCCGAATCCAGAATCTCTTGACCTTCAGACACGTCCACCAGATGTGATATGTTCCCTCCTGCCTGCGACCCCTGGCACACTACCACTTTGACCAAGATTCTAAATTGTATGTGTTATTGCAGAGTATGTTTACACTGAAAATAAATAGAAAACACTTCACGGATGACTGTAACCATACAATGCACGTGATCATACTTTGCTGTCACTGTTTATTGCCTGTTGCTTTATGTGGTTCACGTGGAAAGCAGTAGGGGAGAAGAAGTAATTGAATCACATTCTTTCTTTTTATTCTTTCTGCAGTTAATGGTGGTGGTTGGAGGTCAGGCGCCTAAGGCGATTCGCAGCGTGGAGTGCTATGATTTCAAAGAGGAACAGTGGCACCAAGTGGCTGAATTACCTTCAAGACGATGCAGATCAGGTTTGTTCACCTGTATTCCACAGTCCTATCTGCTATGAACTCTGACCCAGACAACAGCATCAGTGTGACAGTGACTGCTGAAGAAGTGCTGATTGTTTAACTGATTCTTACCTAGAAGAATATTTAAAGTGACACTAAACTATGGTTAGAAAAAAGACAGTTCTATTCGTAACTCAAAGTTCTCTGATGAACTGACTTCTTGTTAAAGGGTGGCTACATTTGTACTTCATGGTCCCACTCTATGTAGGAACATAGCCGCCTTCATTTGCTCACTTCTGAGATGACCTAGGGTTATGGAATTTGTAGTGTGCATAGAGCTGTGCACATGACCGCAACTAATGTGCAATACTAGTTTAAAAGAAAAAAAAAAGTGAAGGGGAAAATTAGAGGTTTGGGAGCTCAAGGAGGAAGAAAAACAGAAACATTTTCATATAAACTAGTAGTAGTAAGTGTGTGGATTATTTTTGTAGAATAAGGATATTGTTTAGTGAAAATCATATTACAATTAGGCACTAGAGGTGAAGCAGGCAAATATATTTGTATTGCACTTTTAGTGAATTCATTTATACGTATTATCGTCAGGACTAAAAACACAAATCTTTATTTTTGAATTACTTCTATTACCAGTTATCTCTCCTAAAGTGGAATATCAGCTATTAAACCAAAAAACAAAATGTTATATACAGCAACTCACCAATACTTAACCACCTCAATACTGGGCACTTTCGCCCCCCTTCTTGTCCAGGCCAATTTTTAGCTTTCAGCGCTGTTGCACCTTCAAGTACAATTGAGCGGTCATGCAACGGTCAATTACATTTTTATATATTTTTTTTAGACAGATGGAGCTTTCTTTTTTATGGCATTTAATCATCAGAGTGTTTTTTTTTTTTTTTTTTCACATTTTTGCTAAACAAATAAAAGAAGACCGAAAATGAAAAAAATAATTTTTAGCTTTCAGTACTGTCGAACTTTCAATGGCAATTGAGCTTTTGAGTTTTTCTTCGTTTCTGTTATAAAATTTTGCAAATAAGCAATTTTTCTTCTTCTTCACTGGTGGGCACTGATAGGCTGCACTGATGGGCTCTGATTGGCACTGATGGGGCTGCACTGATTATCAGTTCCCTGATTAGAAGTGTAAATGTGTGCTATTACAGGATTGCCGGTTATTGCTTATATGCATTCTTTCCCTCACACAGTGACAGCGCTGAGGAAAGGAAAAGCCGAGAACTAATTTTTTTTATTTACATGTGATCAGCTGTGATTGCACACAGCTGATCATGTGGTAAAGGTCCACTGTGATTGGCCCTTTACCTCTATCTGTGTCCAAAGGACACAGCAATCACAGAAGGTGCCCTGGGGGGACGTCTATAGATGCCCTCTCAGAACTAGATGCCCACTCTGTAGCCTTCTTTCAGCTATAGCATGGTCAGCAAGTGGTTAAATGCTGTAGCTGCATTACTTTTTTTTTTTTTTTTTAATGCTTTTCCTTTATTTTCACCTGGTGATCAGACCAGTAATTCACATCCTGTTTTTGTGCATCTCCTTCTTCATTGGAGGGGAAACAGAGGCACCCTTGTTAGACTATTGTTGGACAGCTTGGTCTGTTTACAGGAAGTTGACTTATTGGCCAAATCAAGGAAAAAAGCCTAAAAAATCTAATGCAGCCACCACATCTAAGAATGATAACTTGCAATATAATACATTTTTTAGTGTAACACTGCTTTAAGGTGTACAGGATTAGAATGTCCCTCAGGTTTTTATTGCTCTCTGTGTCCTCATTGGGTAGAATCTTGTCCAAGTGACCACAGAGGAAGTGAGGGCAATAACCTCAGCAAGGACACAAAACATGACTGAAGATCTAATCCTTGCAGGTTATAATGAGAAGGGAATAAAGGAATCAAGAAGCACATCAACCAAATCGGTGCATAGCACAGTGAAACCTTCGTAGAACAGAAAGTAATCGCATATCCTAAAAATAAGGATTGTTCCTCATTTCAGAACAGTGAATAGAGCCATGCAAATCATCCCATTTCTCTGTAAGTGGGCAAACCTGCAACATCTGCAGGGGATCAAATAATTCTTTTCCCCACTGTAAGTGTTTCAGGTTTTTTTTTTTGTCCACCGTTAGTGCAGTATATGAAGACCATAGCTTCTATGGAGTAGGATTTGGGAACCAATGAGACAACATAACTATGCAGCTTCAGGTTTGAAGGTACTTAAGAAATCAAGCTCTATCCACTGTCCTGAAATGAGGTGTAATCCTCTTATTTTTTGAATATGTGATGCAACGGGGAATATGCCTATGTTCTAAGAAGGTTCCTTCTTTAGTTGTATCACTTTTAAACAGGAATTGTCATAACTCTTCTGTCATAGCTGGAATGTTTACTGCTCCCATTCATATCGTGGGCACCCCACATGTGCAGATCTGGGGACTCAAACAAATTCAAGAATAATTTACAAGAATAAAATAAACATTGCTGTATCTTGCTTATGTATTGAAAGTTGCACAAAGGGATAATGCAGGTGATGCTTTGCTTTA